CGAGCACCACACAACTCAAGTCGTGGAATTTACAGTCGCTTTAAAGGTGCCACTTTTGTTTTCGCCATTAGCAAATTGACTGAGGTATAACCGTCAGTTGTTACCTTTATGTAGATTGCAGCAGCGTACGCTGCGCTCGATGCGTCTGAGAAAGCATGTAGTTCCACGGTGCAGTTCGCGACTACTTTTAGCCAACGCGGGATATGCAAATTTTGAAGTTGTTGTAATTCGTTTCGATAACTTTTCCATTCGTGCTGAAGATCTTGGGGCAGGGTCTCACCCCAATCTAACTTCCGGTCCCATAGCCGCTGCAAACAGATTTTGCCTCTTACAGTTACAGGAGCCACGAGTCCCAACGGATCGAATACTCTAGCAACATCACTCGCCAGTTGACGTTTGTTGAAGCACGTAATGCTGTAATCCAAATCGATACTATACGTTAGCATATCAGTACGAGTAAGCCAAACGATTCCCAAAGCCTTGGTCTGGTCGCCCATGCCTAACTCCAATGAGTCCGATGGATCACGATCGCATGGCTCAATAGCGTTCAAGACCTCAATAGCGTTGGAGTTGAACTTGCACAAACTAAAACCGCCTGCCTGCACCAGCGATTTTAATTGATGTATATTGTTGATAACGTCAGCGTGTGTGTCACCTCCGGATAAGACGTCATCTACGTAAAATTCAGTTTCGAGTGACTTTGCCGCTTGAGGGAATTTCTCTCGCTCATCATTTGCGAGACGTCGTAAGACTTTAAGTGCCAAGTACGGTGCACAATTAGTCCCATACATTACGGTCAGTAGCGTGTAGCTGGTGGGTGAATCCTCTGTAGGAGTTCGCCAATAGATTCGTTGAAGTTCAGTATCTTCGCGGTCCACCAAAATCTGCCTGTACATTTTCTCGATGTCGCCCGTAAATGCAAATTTGTATTGTCGCCAGTTCAGCAAAATATTCGCCAAATCATTCTGCAACTACGGCCCAGTGTACAGACAGTCGTTTAGCGATACCCCAGTGGAGTATTTTCGTGCAGCATTAAACACCACACGAAGTTTTGTAGTAGTGCTCGAAGCCTTCCACACACCGTGGTGTGGTAAATAGCACATGCGAATAGCATTGTTGTCGTTCGACACCTCCATGTGCCCGAGTTTACGATACTCTTCCATAAACTTGTTGTAAAATGTACTAAGTTCAGGTTCGCGAGCAAGCCGTCGATGTGTATGTTCTAACAAGACTAGCGCATCTTGCTTGCTAGGTGCAAGCTGCTGAAGGTCAACGCCCTTTCGCACAGGGAGTTTCACGATGTATCGGCCCAGACTGTTACGCCTTGTAGTTTGCTCGAACAGTTTTTCGCAGTATACTTCATCTTCCGTCAGGGTTTGATGCTCGTTGAGTTCCTCAAGTTCCCAGAAAAGACGTAAGGTATGCTCCAAGTCGATGTGTGTGTTGTAGCACTGGGCTTTGTGAGTATCAGCCATACCCTTATGATCAGATAACCCACCAAAGATGATCCAGCCTAGTTGCGTATGCTGTGCCACCATTCCATTAGTAGCGCTTTGTTTAACCTCGTTGCGTATTATCATGGCGTAGTCTGCCGCACTCATGATGATGTCAATAGCACCGGGTTGGTACCACTTGGGATCAGCTAACTTTAGCTGACCCAATTCTGGGAATTCGGTATTTGGGATGTGCTTACTAGGTGTAATGTTCCCTACCCTTGGAAGTACCAAGGCGATACACTCCATCTCAAAATCATATTGTAGTGATCGAATAGTGACTTTGGCCAATGCCTTCGCACAAGCCACGCTCGTACCAGATGCACCGCTGATCGGGATCTTAACGACTGTACGTTGTAACTGCATCTGTCGTGCTGCAAACTCACTAATGAACGTAGCTTCAGCTCCATTATCGATTAATACTCGCAAGATTTGTCTGTGTCCATTCGGACCACGTGCTTCCACAAACGCGGTGGCCAACAGCACTGTCGGCAAAGAAGCTGGTGAATGGTTCGACGTGTTTCCAATACATGTGTTATTGGCTGTTATAGAGGCTGTTACATTCGTTGTACTCGAATCCGCTGAATTACTTTGCGACACTCCTTTTTGTGCCACATTAGGTTCGGCCTTATTACAAAATACACCGTGCAATAATGTGTTGTGCTTTGCTTTGCAAACTGTGCAACGCCCCTCGGACGGACACACCCGTAACATATGTCCTTGCCGCAGTTTCAGCATCAACTTTCGGCAAATTCATGATGTGAGTTAAATACGAGTTGATAATTATGCGCTTGTTCTCATATTTCTTAACAAGAATGTCCCATGCAACTTGAAAATTCGCATCTGTTGTCACTATATTGTCAAGAACATGTTCCGCATCACCAATCAGCGCGTCCTTGAGATATTGAAGTCTCTGTGTGTTACTCAAATTTGAATGATTAGACACAACCGATTCAAACAAATCTTTGAATGCGTACCAGTGCAGAAAATTCCCATCAAAAGTTGGAATCTTAATTAGTGGTAACGTAGTCATTTGCTGTACACAAACAGTCGTTGGGTTTGTTGAATTTTCCGCGTTTGTAGTAATGTTGTGAGATTCTGTTCGCAATGCGTTGATGTCGTCAATTAATTCGCCCCGGGTTTTCTGTAAACAACATTTCTACGGACGAATGATCATCTTTGCTCAAATATTCATTCACCGCAGTAACATCAACACCCTTCTCAGCAGTCGCAGCGAACAACCTTAGTTCTTCATAACATGTGTTGTATTCCATCCAATAAGATTCCAGTAATGTTTTTCTTTCTGTCAAATAGCCTGCAGATCGACGGTCCTTTGCCACCTTTCGCGTGTTGGTCATGAAGTTGGTTATGCGCAACGCAACTCCCTGAATTTTGGTCAGATGAACCTGCATCTTAGTTAAAGGAATGTGTGCTACGAATTTATTGCTGTAACAAAATGTAAACACAAGCCGAAGTTGCCACTAGACCTCAAAATCAGCCTGTTGCTAGTTTGCCTTTGCTAAATGTACTCGTTCCTATTTGCTTTGCTCACCGTGTTACCACTCCGGCAATGGATAACTCGTTGTTTTGCTTTGTGCTCTTTGACAGTAAACCCAGTGCTGCCAAAGTCCAACTTTTGTTACGTACAAAGTTATGATCGCTCTCGCCCAAATGATGCTTCAAAGGGAATGAGTGTCGTATGCAAGTGCGCAATCTTACGTGACGTCACCAATAAGGTTGATATATGTACTTACATATGTACACGTACACGTACATATAATCAATGTATGAAACTTAAAATGCGGTGTTTGCCCTGAAGTTAGCTTATGAATTTCGATGAAAAATATGTATTGAACCGTGGAAAGCCCAACTTCTCGATGACAAACAACGAAGTTTGATTGATTTGGTGCGCCGTTTTCGCCACTCCCCGCAAGGGATGCCAAAATGTTTGGGCTTTTGTTGAGGGATGCCAGGAATTGTTTCCAAGATAAATGATGAGCAATCGTTTATTTGTACTAACGCGAGAATATTTATTAAAGTATTTTGATTACAATTATGATGATGTTAAATGGAATAAATATTTGATGAGCGAAAAGAATACAAAAACTGAAATGCGTAGTGAAAAACGCGTGCGGTTCTTTTTGCCTATTTTTTCTTCATCATACGTCGACAGCTATTTGAGTGAATTATTGGGAAGTGTTCAGAAAATCCTTAACACCTTACTTAATTTAAATTTTTTATAAAAATATAGTTAATTCTATAACAAAAGACATGTGAGTTGAAGTTTCAAACTTTCTAGAAAAATTATAAAAATTGAGAAAATTAAAAAAAAAAATTTGTAGCCCATTCAGTTTCAGTAGAAGACGAGCTCGAGTCAGAATCTGTTTGCATATTTTACGCTACAAATTTAAACCATATATAGTTGGTGTGCTTATTAAATACAACATTCACATTAAAATGTTGACTAAAAGGTATATTACCGAATTATCGCTAAACGAATTTTCGAGTACGAATGAAACTTAACAGTGTTAAATGTGTATGTGCAAGTAAAATGACAGGTGGTCGAGCATCAAAAATCAAAGTAAAGCTACATATATCATATCCAAGAGTCGGTAGTTTGCACCTTTTCCAAATTTTTAGAACTTACATTGCACCGTAGCAGTAGTCGTCTTAAGTTTGAAATACTGACAGCCGATTTCTCAGTGGATGTTTAATTATAATCAACACATTATCTCTTATTGTCATCTTCTCAGTGTACTTAATATATGATTAACTCACCACCACCTTTCATAAGATTTATTAATGGCGAAACCAGCTTTTCCTGTAAATCCTGTAAAACCTGCAAATCGTGATTGCAAATCGGGTTGGGTTGAATCCAAACAGTTTGTTATTTTGCGAAATCCTAGGAAACGAAACAATTGCATGCTGACACCTTTTTAATAATGGTTCAAGTTTAATTAATGCTTTCAATCTGCTCACACGTATGAGTTGTCAAAAACCGTTGTTTTGAACATGTAAACCTCAAGTAAATGTCAATTACACCAATTTACAAAAGTATTTACTAAATGTAAAAATCAGTACAAAATCAGTAGATTTTGCGTACAGATTTCGGGGTCTTAAAAATTAGTACAATAGAAAAAAATCAGCACATGTACTGATTAAATCAGCGCATCTGGCCACCCTAGTTAACGCGTTTCAAAAACATATTTTTGAGTTGCCGACTTCACTGCGGAAAAAATTCTTTATCAATTGGTTTGGGCGTTTGCAAAACTGTATAAAATATGTTGAGTATATTTTGAACATCGATAAAATTTTTTTTCTTTTATAGCGAGACGAAAGTTTTATTTAGTGCCCCTCGTACATAAATAAATACATTTTTTTACTAAGTAAAATTGACCTTAATTAAACTTTTAGATATATCCATTTAAAATGCTGTTAGAAGTTTAGTCCTTCGGGGCTAAACACAAATTAACAAATATACTTCTATTTATCTCTTTTAGTACTTACGTCATTTGTATTGGCAGTTTGTGCGTCGGAGCAAATGTGCATTGGTTCCATGACAGCCTGCACGGTAGTTTCATCAATAGAGTGTGCTTCTGCCGATCTAAAAATTGAAATACAAATTTAATTGACAGTACACTATGGGTACGGTGACTATAAATATGGATTCAAAATGAAGGACAATTTTTCAAAAATATGCCTACATATATTGGTATTGTTGTAGGCTGGTCGATCTACTTCTCCATGTGCAAGAAAAACAATTTTTCTCCACTGCTTTGCCCAACGTTTCGCTAACTACCTTAGCATCATCAGGGGCGATTCTTTATTATAAATAGGTTCGTTCGCGTAGCTGTTAATTGTTCATGTTTAACCAAAACTTGCAAGTTTTTGCGTTCGCGTACGCAAAAAACTTGCAAAGTAGGGGAAATTGAGAGAGCAAAGTGACATTTCATTTTGAGGGGAAGCTGCTGGTTTCTGCTGGAAAAATTTTTGCCAACAGCAACTTGCCAACAGGAAAACAGCTGATCAAAAACAGCTGGTTGGCATTTACGCAAATCACAAAATTGAATTTGATGGTTTGGAAGTTAAAAATTACAAAATGCGACTAATTAAACTTGTAAGAAATAAGTAGCTATTTGTTTAATCAATAAACTGTGTCAGTATAACACTTTGTGATGGCTTTTCGTACGTTTTAAATTTTACTCTTTTGAATGTAAACAAAAATTATATCAGCTGTTCATCTAATTTGCAAGTTTCTGCAAATTTTCTGTTCGCGTACTATTTGGGATATTTTTCTCTTGTGAGAGAACAGATGACATTTCGCCGGAATTTGGCAGTTGGTTGGTTTTTACTGGAGATTTTAAACGAACGCACCTAATATCAACAGAAAAAACCAAAAAAAAAAAACGTAGAATAAAAATATCAAAAGAGTATTTATGATTCTAAATTCTCAATACATTTTAAACTTTAAAAACGAATCACTCTTTCTTCATCGATATTAATCTTTTTTTACATGAATATTTATAAAAGTATAGTAAAACATATTATAATTACAATAGCTTACACGAAAAGTGAAAATCTTTAATAGATTATTTTATGGGCAAATTTTGAGTCATTCAAAACGAAAACAATACCTTTTTTTTGTTTTTTTGTACTTTTCGCAGTTATTTGTTAAAAATCAACGTCATGAATCGACGTAAACAACGAGTTACAAAGTGCCCTTTACAAAAATTTATAATTTGTGCAGATTGCGCTACATAGCATCTACATTTCTAATCCCATCTTCATTAACTTTGGCTCAAAATTTACTGTAATGATATATCTTCTTTATCGAATTTTTGAAATAATGAAAAAAAATAATCAAATCAAACTGGGTATTTGATTGAAAATGTCACTTTTTTCGACTTTGACGACAAAATGCAAATGGTCGCCTGTAGCACTGATAATTTTCATTGAAGTCGCCACAAGTTATATATATTTTTTTTTTATATAATACCCTTTGAGCTGTAAGTTGCTTACGTTGATTGGGAGATTTTTTCATGAGATATTGAAGAAAAGCTTCGAAAAGTACCAAAAGACACTTTTTTGAAAAAATCCATCTATTGTCCGATAATTTTTAAATAACGAATAAAATGCGGGACAAATGCAGCACATTGGAAAAAAGCAGGACATTTTCAGGTTTTTCAGGTTTGAAAAACTACGCAGGACCGACCTTTGAAAAACAGTACGGTCCTGCAAAAAACAGAACGGATGGTCACCGTAACTATGTGCCACTGCCGCAAAAACGTCAAAAAATCAAAAATTTCATGGCCGCGGCGTTTGATAAAGTGAAGATACGTTTCTAATAGAAGTTTTTCTAACCTTTTAAACAGGAATAGTAGTTAAGGAAGTAAAGCCCCTAAAAGTTGAAACATTTTCCACTTGGAGAAAAATTTGATTTTTTCATCTTTGCGATTAGTTTGAATGTCAATCGCGCATTTTATCGGCATAATATAGCGGTGTAAAACGCAGGGAAGCGTTTGGTGATTAGTGATTTGCGTCTAAAAACCTATGTACAATAAAGTGTTTTACAACACACCTCCTCATGGAAAAGGAAGCTGGCAAATGCCACACCACCAAATGCATTGCTGAGGCTATCTCTGAATGAATACGCTTTGCTGACGTGAATGGATCTTGGTTTATGTAACGAAAAACATAAGTATACTCTTTTTTTATTTTTATAATTTTTATTGAGCTTTGTACCACGATTGTTTATTAGGAAAGTCGAAAAAGCAACAAAGTCTAAGCGATAACTTCTACCGCTTAGACTTTGTTGCTTTTTCAATTTTTCCTAATAAACAATCGTGGTACAAAGCTCAATAAAAATATTAAAAATAAAAAATTTTAATATGCCATAATAACATTGACAAATACATAAGTATACTCTTTCGTGAATCATATTACAATATAATGTCTAACAGCCACATTCTGAAACCTTCATTAAATTAGCTCTAACGGGCACCTTACTGACGATCGTTAAATCTGTTAGTTAATGTTTACTTTCAGAGTTAAAAGATAAGTGCTCATTAGTAAATGAACAATTTAAATATGACCCCAGTTGCGGGCCTTTTTTGGCATCACTTACTTTTTTCTTCCAGTTTGAAATCAAATATAAAGATAAGTATTTATACCGTTTTGCGTGCGCTGCCTCAACAGTCGCAATGGCTGAGTGAGCAAATCACTGGCCTGCCTTCGAGTCCTCGGGCAGGACACTTTTCCCCCCATTTTTAATTTAATATTTTTTGTGTTTAACTTTTTATACTTTTTTAATAAATTTTTTTCTTTTTAATTTAATTTTTAGATTTTATTGTTTTAAAAATGCAATTTTTTAATATCATTTAATTTTTAGAAACTTTTTGCTAAATGAGGCATGTCTTTCAAGTCACCACAGTCTTTCGAAAGACAAAAGACCCTCGTATGACAATTAATGCACTGCATGGATACATTTGAATCGACCAATAAGACATTTGTTAGCAGCGCAATTACTTACACTCTTTATCTCTCCATTCTCTTGTTGAGTGCGGGCAATAACAAACTGGTTGGCACTGTTGCCAACTTAGTGCTTTACGCACTAAATTTAGTGCTTTTTCAAAAAGCGAACATTTTAGAGTTTAGTGCTTGGTTCCTTTTTTGTTGCTTTTGTTTTTAGTTTGAAGACACCAAATCTGTAAATCTTAATAAAAAGGGGGCAAAAATTTACAGCAACCGTAAGTTTTGTAAGAAATTTTATAAAAATCGGAACAAACTCATGTGACAATGACAATCATAAGCGAGAGAGCATATTTTTACCAACAATATAAATATGTGGCAGCACTTTCAATCATGTCAAAATTACATTCGGTAATTCCCCATTACTGGGACCAGGAATCGCACTATGCTGCAGTGGATAATACGCTCATATGACACATTAAAAAGGAAAATCAAATTTCGTTATGTTTCAGGTGTTAAGCGGTCGGAAAGAAAATTCCTTTAGTTCACAAGATCGTAAGAGACTGCAGTATAGATTTAAACTACCACATAGTTCATGAAACTTCATTTCTGGTTTTTGCTTTCGTTTGATAGGAATTGTAGAAAAAATTAAGCAAAACGAAGAAAACTTTAACATTTAAACAGGCAGGAAAAATTAATAATCTTTGCTTATATCTAAGCAAAACAGAAACGCTGAAAACAGCTGAAAATTAGAAAATAAGAACGTCGCTCGAACGAAAATATTTGAATTTATAGAAAACAGAATAAATTGAGTTTTGTTTATTTGAATCGGCATCACTACAATACAATTCGTTATGCATACAGTCCATCAAATACTCCAATAAAAATTTGGTGGTTTTTGTTAAAATGAATAGCAGCTTTATATGCGTAGTTGGAGGATTTAAAGAACACGAGAAAACGTCTTGATTGTATAGCGTATATTCCAGAATGAAAAAAATTTATTCGTTTCAAACTTCTTAACATACAGCAATAGCAAATGTGTATACAATATTGAATACAAAGTAATATTTCACAAAGTACATTTCTAACACTCCTCCTCAATATGTACACATTTTCCATTAAGAACATTTTAATACAATCCCATATCTTTTCTAAATTTGCAATGTTTTATCTTTTGTAAGTTTTTAGTTAAAATATCTGATATCATTTCTTCAGTACAAACATAATTTAAAGCTATTTCACCTGCTTTATACAAATCTCTGACAAAGTGATATTTCAAATCTATGTGCTTACTTCTTGCATGATATATAGGATTTTTTACCAAAAATTGTGCACCCTGATTATCACTATTTACTAAAGTAGGTTTAGTAACAGCGAATCCTAATTCGTTTAAAAGACTTCTTTTGTATATAGCATCTTTCGCAGCTATTGAAAGTGCCACATACTCAGCTTCTGTACTACTAAGTGCAACGACGCTTTGCTCTTAGACTCCCACGAGAATACTCCGCCTGCAGCAAAAAATGCACTCCCTGTATATGATCTCCTGTCACTAGCATCGGCTCCCCAATCAGCGTCAACATAACATTCGATTGGTTTACCCGCTTTGTGATAATGTATCTTCATATCTATTGTACCCTTCAAATATCGAAGACCATGCTTGACACCTGCTTCGTGCTCACAATGCGGATCGGTATTTCTTTGTGAAAGTTTGCTTACAGAATGAAGAATGTCTGGTCTCGTTGAAATAGCCAGATAGATAAGAGCACCTATCAAAGACTGATATTCACTTTGATTCACACGTCTACATTTGTTGTCAGTACAACTGACTTGAAACCCTGCACTTAGTGGCGTACATACTGCTTTACAATCGGACATTCCTTGTTGACTCAATAAATCTGCGATGTATTTCCTTTGACAAAGAGTTATTGCACCCGTTTCCCCTTCGTGCTGAATTTCCATTCCAAGGTAATATTTTAAAGGGCCTGTGTCAACAACATCAAATTCATTTGCTATTTTAGCTTTTATTCTTTTGACCTCTTCTAACTTCGTGCCACCTATAATTAAGTCATCCACGTTTACTGCAATAATATTATAGTTCTCATCCTTATGCCTTGTATAAACGCAAGGCTCGCTTAC